GTCTGCTAAATGACTAAAAGTAAAAGTAAAGTAAAAGACCGCTTAAACCAGAGAAGGTGAACATGGTATTCATGTGGGGTAAAAAACCATGCAAGCACTGTCACCGGCAGCAAGTTTAGTTTTACTTTTCTTTTTGTTTTGTTTTCATTTTGAAAAGCTTATTTTTGCTGTTTACCTCACATTATGCTATGGAGGCTCTCTTTTTTATTTTTTGATTCCTCAGTGCAAACACGTTCTGTAATTTATTAGTCATTATATAGCCTAATACAGCGTGTAGGCCTATGCCATGCCTCATCTTATTCGTTTTTGTTAATAAGGTTTTGTAAGCTATTTGTCATTGAATACTGTTTTATTGTTGTGCATTTTAATTAAAAATAATGAATCCATCTTTCTTTCTTTGTCTTAAAAGGTGAAAGGTGTATAGATGTAAGCTAAACAGACAACTAAAGTTAATCGCAAAAGAGCCAGCAGTGGGAAGAATGAGTGTGGAACCCTGAATTGTCCAGCTCCCTCTGTCAGTGATCTAGCACGCCCTCAGCACCTGCGTTCAAAATTCTCTGGAGCCGCCCCTGGTACATCCATGTATTTTTGAAAAGCAAAAATTAAGTTTGTCCAACTCTAAACCCAGTCCCCAAGTAAATTAGGTTGTTAAATAAAAAAACTAGCAAAACGAGTTGCGCCGTGTCCCCACCACCAGCAAAGTTACGCCACTGATACAAATCATGCTCTTTAACGCATCACGTTTTATGATCTCGAATGAAGGTATGTGCACAGCAGTGACGTTTTAGGCCTTTGGGGGGATTAAAATAACATCAGCAAATTACACCTGAGTTTATCAAAATAACCTGGATGGCAGTTCTGGTTTAGAAGTGAGATTGGCCAACTGAGTGGAAAATACTGAAAGCTGTACAATACACAGAAGGATCTAATCCAGTAAAGTACAGTGAGACTACAGTGGTACTTTTAATACTCCACCGCAGCCCGATTAACCTTGAATCAAGACTAGTTAGCACATAATTAATAATTGAAATGGTTTTGAAATAATTCAATAATTGAAAAATATTTTGTTATGGTTACACTTGAATTGGTTACAAAATAGATGAAGGATGGTAAAGCATAGTTAACTGTACCCAACATGGAAAATATTACCTGAGAGAAAGAGATAGAGAGGGGGGGGGGAGACTAGAGAGAGGAAGAAAAAGAGGGAGAGAGGGCAGAGACCCAAGAAGAGCTCCAACAAAGAAAAGAGGCAACAAAGAAAAAAGACAGAGCAACAGTTACAATCCTCTTTTATCCCTTCCTTGACCATGTGACTAAAAACCAACTGTGAGACATTCAAACTGACCAATCAGCAGATTACAACTTCACCCACTGGGCAAAAGGTGTGACAATTAGCAGACCCCTGGTGTATACACATGTTGGCCTACAGGCCTTGATCGATAGCAACACTTCAGGAATGCCAAATGGCCCTTTTGTTACTGAAGATAGGTTTGGGACAGGAAAGCAGAAGTCTTTGATAATTTTTGACCTTACAACAATTAACACCAGATGCTGGAGATGGGAAAATACAGGGCTTAAGTACTCAACTAAACGAGGGGATGACGAGACACACCTGGACTCAATGAACCACAGTAGGAACAGGAACAGGAACAGGAAGAAAACCCAATATGGGCATGTCACACACGAGGTAAAACTAGGTCAATGGGAGCAAAACACAACACAGACAGTCCATATTGCTGACAATTGTATTTTGATCAGATAAATGCAGCCTTGTGAGCTTAAGAGGCTTCTTTCAAAAAACATTACAAAATCTTATTGACCTCAAACTTTTAAACAGTAATGTATGCTGAAATCTGTTACTGTAACATGTATTTAGTTTACTGATTACAGATTTGCACAAATCTTTTCCTCTTTATGTACACACATTGCGAAACAAAATTAATTCTTCTGACAGACCGCATTGTAATTAATCAGAAGTTTGTTTTTGGTTTGTTACATTGGAAGGAAGTTTCCTAAGTGTGGTCTATGAGTGTTATAAGAGGTGTGAACCAGCATAATGATTGTTGGCAAATATATTTTTTAACCAAGAACATTTTTATCTGTCACTATCAATGGAAAAATTTAACTGATCACTGATATCAACACTGCTCTGACTTGTTTTTATCGACCTTGAAATTTAAATCGGTTATTGAATTTTAATGACCTCCTTTACCATCTGGTTTCTGTTTTATTCAGTTTTATGACCTCTCTGAACCCACGTCAGCACTTCCGCAGCCCTGGATTGGCATAAACGCTGTGAAACTTGGGAAAGGTTGAGAAATGTGCAGCTGTGGACCCAAAACACATGTGGTAAATGAAACATTTTAACTTTGATTAGTTAACTTAGATTAGTTTTAATAACGATAAAGTGTTGCAGTATGTTAGCCACTAGACGTCAGAGTAAGGTTAGTCCAGAGCAATAATTTCTCTGATCAGCAATAGCTGTCACATTATTACACACACAGTGTAAATACAACAGAAGACAAGAAGTCCACACTGATCAACTTAAAGGTAAATAGTAAATGTGAATTAATGTTCATATTCATTTTCAGGTTGTATTTGATAGATGTTTTCCACAGCCATCTCTCTGTTGTACAGGCCCACACTGCTGCCAGAGTTACTGTAGATGACAGAGTTCTCCGAGTTCTGGGCTCTGAGGAAGAAAAGTTATGAAAAACATTTTGTTTTAATGACCAGCAATGCCCATGACAAATATAAGCACAAAAGGTGACCTAATAGAAGGATCATACTGTACTTGCTTTGATGCTGTTATGCATTGCATGGGTCACTTACATTTTTTAAAAATTAATAATATGCACAATATTATTGCCTAAATAATTACAAGATTATAAGACACAACACTGTTCAAAAAACTGTGTTCAGTTAGATTTTTAAGTTTTTGCAAGTCTCTTGTTCTTGCCAACGCTTCATTTCATTGGTCACAAATACAGTAAAAATGGCAATATTGTGAAATATTATTATAATTTAAATTAACTGTTGTCTATTTTAAGTTTTTTTATTTCTTTTTTAACAACAGCTAGGACACATTTCTCGATACTAAAGTCCCCTTTTCACAACACTTCACACAGTTCTCCAAACTATATTTCAACTTGACACAGCAGTTCATTTCACATTCAAAATACACTAAAACTACCAAAACACTTCATTAAAGTTAAAAAAAAAATGCTTACACAATTTTTGAAACTGTGGCTCCATTTTGCAAATCACAAAACAAACAAACACACACACAACATGCAAAACGTCACACATATCTTACAAAAGCAAACACTTCTTTCAAAATTATTTTAACTCTTCAAAAAATGCTATTTTTGCATAGTAACTCTCCAAACAAACATAAAATAATTAGCCACATACATGCCAAACTACACACAGATGTGAAAAATGTATAACACTACTCTCGTGTGTCTTTTGCTTGTTCAGAGTGCAGTTGAGTGCACAGGAGTTTGGCATAGCACTCGCACATACATGCATATTCACATAAACACTATACACATTATGTATGTACAACTGATGAATTTGTTATGCAACTGAACTGAATCAATACTGAACTGACTTGAGCTGTGTAATGACACTATTGGCTTGTTAGAGCTGCTTTACATAGAATTTGAATTTGATACTATTGTGAAGCTGCTGTGAAACAATTTATATTGTATAAAGTGCTTTAGAAATAAAGTTGACTTTCTGACTTGGCTCGTATGCATATTCAATGTGTGTTGCATATTCAACACACACACACACACACACATTCACGCATAGTATATAATCATATATATACACTGTAAACAGATATGAAAGGGGGTAGAAATAATTTCTTTCTTAAAACACTGAGTTTTGATTTCTAAGTGAACAAATTATGTTTAAGTGTTTTCACACATGATCACTGGCTGTAGGTCACCAGTAAATGAGTCTGGCAAATGAAACAAAAGAGCTGTTAGTTTTTAATGATGTGTGTTATGTAGAGAACAGTTTTTAGAGTTCTGCAAATACAATAGCAAACTGAGTTTAATTTTTAAAAAACTTTGTCCTTGCTGAATAATAATAATAATCTATGTGACCCCCTAACATTTGATGGTGTGTAAAGTGATGAGTGGTTGTATCTCAGTATAATCATGCCAACAGTAAATTCCCATTTGTTTTCATTGTTTTATTTACATATGTTTATAATGAAAATAACTTTGGAATTAATGTTTTTAATCATAATCAGTATAATTAGCACTTGAAGGATTGACTTACATGTCTACTGCAGCTCTGGTTTTCTTCTTGTGCTTCACTGAAAATAGAAACAGTTTAATTTTATAAATAACAAACACAATGAATATTACTGTGAAATTTGAAAAAATGAATTGACTGAATGCACGTTGGACTCACATATCAGAATGACAGCAATGACAATCAAAGCCAACAGTAACAGGAGGACAGGCACAATCACTGCTGATGCATTTACCTTAAAACACAAATCAGTACAAAGATATTAAGTGATCATTGTTTCAAACATGTCTCAAAAACATATAAGATTTTATGTTTATGGTGAAATACGCACACTATCTTTGTTTTCCACAGAGGACGATTCATGATGATCAAATGAGGTTTCTTTTTTAGAATGAAAACACAAACAAAATGGTCAGTCAGCATATTTGCAAATACATGCAGTATGTTACACACAATTATAAATAGCATAAAATGATTCGCTGAATTATAGGCCTATACCGTATGTTGTGCCAGTGAGCCAAAATCCAATAGTACTGCTCTCAGGAGCATTTGTTGAACTGACGATTGAAGAACTCTCTTGTGTTGTGTTCGTTTCCACTACAAAAAATGATAATGTCACATAATGTTCTTTAAACGACCAATTTCAATGTCTTTTATAGAAAGCAGAGATCTTTAATGACTAAATATTTGTGCAACATGCAACTGAATACTTCTGAGTTGCCAAAATAGATTACAGATAATGAGAACTGAATCAGTTATTCATAAATGAAACCTTTTCTTCAGTCATTATAGATTCACTGCCAGGGTTAAAATCATAATACCTCCTGAAGTTTCAGTGGTCTGTGATTCAGAGGTTATAAGCCCAGAACTAGTGGTTACCAAAGGCTCTGGTGTGGTTGGACCAGGTGCTTTGAAACAGGATGTAGAATGTTCCTTTTTAAATGTTCACACTCGTACATGAGCAACAGAACTGCTGACAGGACTGACTTTACACAGCAGTGATCTAATCTGTGATGACGGAATGATGGCAGATAACGTCTTAATTAATGTAGCCATCACCAAAAATACCTTCTTTTTCGACTAGGTTAGATTTGTTTTCATTGTGGTATGTTTTCATCATTCAGCCATGACAGATTCACATAGAATCACATATATTCACATATAAACACACACAAGTACCCTCTGTAATGGCAGTGCTGAAAACTCCTGTGGTTTCATGCTCAGATGTGCTGCTTGACATGGATGTAGTTTCCCAAGTTGTTGGAATAATGGCTTTGAAGAAAGTGTATTTTAATGTAAAACTATACTAACTTTCAAGATCTTGAAATTGTTTTCTAAATCTACACTGTCCTGTTCAAAAGTTTGGGGTCTGTAAAAATTTCCAGTGATTTTAAAATAACTTTCTTACGCTCAACATCACAAATACAGTAAAATACAGTAATATTATTGTGAAATATTATAACAATACAAATTAGCTGTTTTCTACTTGAATATATTTTAAAATGCAATTTATTTCTGTGATGCCAAACTACTGGAAACTCCTACTGACCCCAAACCAAATATATACTGTATATATATATATATATATATATATATATATATACACATACATATGTGTGTGTGTGTGTACATGCATACAATAGGTAAATTGAACAGTTAAATCACTGGGATTTAGTCACTTCAAGTGTTTTGGCATTAAAAGCATTGCTTTCGACACTTACCGTCATTAACAATCAAGTGGACGTAATACATCTCATCATTAAACAGTCCAGGTACATGTATTCGGCATCCATACTTGCCAGAGTCTGTTTTTTTAATGTTTAGGATTGTCAGAGACACGTCTCCATGCCGTATTTCTCCCCCCAGCTGGTATCTGTATGATTTTTTCCTCACCACTTTATCTCCATCACTTCCAATAATTTCATTACCACAACCCATATTGGGAATGTCTCCTATCATCCAGCATATGGGACATTTTCCATGATATTTGCTGTCATATTTGCATGGCAAAATGACACTCTCACCCTCGAAACCCTGTACAATGCCGTCGCTGCATTTAGAAACTGAGAGAGAAACAGTGATTTAAAAAAAAAAAAAGTAATACAAAATATACAGATCCAAACAGTGCTAGATAATGTGCCTTGTTCATATAAAATGATATTAGGGGTTACTCCACAATTAAATACTACACAAATAAAACAGAATATTTGAAAATATGAATTACATAAAAAAAAAAACATTTTTCCTCACTGTCACAAATTACTGATTGTAACCACATTTCAATATAAATGTGAAACTCACTTGTGAGATAACAGAGAATCCAGGATGCAAAGAACCAGCTGTGAAAATCAGTCATGATGAAAAGGTTTCACTCTCTCTGCAAACAGTGCTCAAGAAGACAACCTCATCTCTCTTACATTATAACCATTTATGCGGAAGTCAACATGCACATGACACCCTTTCAGCTTTTCTTAAATGTGCAGTCCGACATCTTTTTTAGAGTTTCACTTCCATATGTGACCTACTACTCTGTGGTCACTTCCAAATAACGAAAGAGAGACTTGTGAGAACATATTAACATTTATTTGAACTGCAAAAACACACGCCTCTATACATCACATGCGAGTTTTTACTTTTTGCAAGATTTCATTGTTTGTGCATTATTAAAACTTTTAGGATTACATTTCATTTTTCATGCAACAGCATTGAACACTAGAGGCCGCTATTGTGTGATAAATCAAATTGCGTTTCCAAACAAACCAAAATTTTTATCTCACGTGGTGTTTGGGCATTTAGTAATTGATTTCTGAGAAAGAGATGCATGACATTAGATTACAGTTTGGAAGCTTTTTACAAAAATGCTTTACAGATAAAGATACAGGCAACAAACACGTCATATTACAATGTAAATTGAAAAAAAACCCAACACCATAATGTAAATAAATTATCTCAGATTTAGATTAATAACTGATCAATTATTTTATAAATAGCCTATTAGGCACTGATAACAAACCACAAAAAAATAATAATAATAAAGTCACCATGCATGTGGTTTTTATACAGTCATAGTGACCCCAGAACTGACTATCACACCATATCTGTGTGTGGTTGTTGGTCTGGGAAGCCTGGCAGATTTTTACATTCTCCTTCAGCCAGTGCGTTCTCTGGAGCGCCGCAGTCCTGAGGGCAAAGCGTTCAGATAGACGCATTAGTGCACAGTAAGCAAAACCTCTTTCACTTCCACTCAGCCACGGAGACACATTCTGAGAGCCAAATTTAACGTTGTATGAGGCATGAGGATCTGCAGAAGTTTCCACACAGCAATGAGCAATGAGCAATGAGCAAACGTTTCTTGTTCATGCATTAAATAAAATGTTCAGTACACTTTTCAAACTATATATTGTTTGGTACAGAGGCTTATTTGAGTGAATATGACATGTGAGCATGACAACCTGACAAGGTCACATATTTCACCCCCTTTAAGTATTTATTTTGGTGAATATGACATAGACCTTTGTAAACATGACAACCTGAAGGTCACATTTCACCCCCTATATTACATAATAATTCTTATATTACATTAATGTTTTAATTGACAGTGAGAATGACCATTGAGACAACAAATTAAGGTATGTACATTTTCAAAAAATATGCTTCATTATGAAAATAATGTCACATTGCAAAAAAAGTAACTTTGTTTTCTTATGCTAATTATAATTTCTTATCTCCTCTCTTTTGTGTTTAGAATGAATTGTGATCTGTTCATGTTCTTGAGAGGTTTCATGAGATTTGGCCTTTTTTGCTTTTTACAAGTATTTCATATTTCTCCAGAGCTAAACCATTCAAATGAATTACTTGCTACTCTACTTACTGAACAGGAGTGCGATGATTAAACCCGGGATGAAGACAATGGCCCCCACTCTTACAGTATTTATGACAAATGTTTCCATTGTATCCTAGAATGACACACAACATGTATGTACAGTAACACCTTATTCATGTCCAAAAATCAATATGCATTTCATACATACATTACCTACAACATATTCAAGTCAAAATACAGATGCAAAACTGCCAATGTATGTGTCTTTGCAAACAGAATAGTGCAATACCTCAGCATGGACAACTGCAATTGCTTCATACATGTAGATGTCGGTGGCATCTGAAATAAATCAATCATTGTATTTACTCTTACATTTCTGAATAACTTTCAAAGTTGATTAAATGTGGTCATGATTATATTCATACCTGCAGTTGTCTTTTCTGATATGAAATAAAGCTCTGTAATGAGTGTGGTTGGGTCTGATACATAGTAGACTGTGTGTAAAGCAAAAAATGGTTAGTCTGGGTTTTGAGCCTAGTGCTTGTTGACCACTGGTGAAAAGTTTTCAGACTACTGTGGTCCAACTATTATGTTAGTACTGGTAATTCAGATTTTAAAAATATTGTTATTAATATGGTAATAAATGTATTGGTTGATAACAAATGATTGATTAATCAATTAAATTAATGAATAAAAAAAGACAAAAAAAAAGTTTTCACTAACAAATTTAATTTATAAACTGTCGTCTAGTGTTGTGGGGCAGTGTTCTTTTAATGTTTCTGAAAACAAGGCTGCATTTGATTGATCAAAAATAAGCTAAAACTGCAATATTGTGAAATATCATTACAATTTAAAATAACTGCTTTCAGTTTTAATGTTTTAAAATGTAACTTATTCAGAAATAAACATGATTCTTCAGAAATCAATAATAAAATGCTGATTTGGTGCTCAAGAAATATTTCTTATAATTATCAAGTTTGAAAACAGTTGTGCTGCTTAATATATTTGTGGCATATTTAATGAACAGAAAGTTCCAAATTTGAAACGGAAATCTTTACATTATAAACATATTTGAAAAGTTCAGATGCCAAATCCTCTAAGTGCCATCTGAAATTTTCTTCTAAAATTAGCATTTTTATCAGGCTCCTATGTTTAGGTTCAGTCATTTTATTTTTATGACAATGTATAGGTCAGTCATTTTCTATGCCATTAAAGTGAAATAAATGAACATAAATATAGGAGCCTGATAAAACTGCTCATTTTAGAGGAAAATTTCAGATGGCACTTAGAGGCCTTTGCATCTGAACTCTCCATTTACTGTCACTTTTGGTCAACTTAATGCATTCTTGCTGAGTAAAAGTATTAATTTCTTAACCAGTCAACCTTTCTATGTTGGCCATGTCCTTGGATGTGCAACCTTTGAAATCAGCAACAGAAGTAGCTATACAGTATGCATGGTTAAATATCTAGTTGCATTAGCATTTAACATTATTATCCCTTGCTCAAAACAGATCTGAAAAAGCAAAATACTTTCTAACCTTGTTTTTCCTGATTTGCTGTTGAAGGGACCAGTTGTGTTTCTGAGATGACTCTCTTTGGATCCAGTCCTTTTTATGCAAGAACAGGAATATTGTAGATCATCACGGTATGAGCACAACAACACTGATATCAACTGGAGTGGTTACTTACCATTGCTGATAAACAGATAGACATTGTGACTAATGTCATTGAAAAGTCCAGGGATCTCGATACGGCACACGTACATCCCAGCATCCCTCTTTTGAGCAGCCTTTATGGTAAGTGAAACATCCCCTTGCTCCAGTCCACTGGCAAAGCTGAATCTGTTTGACTCTCTGTAGGTCACTTGCAAGCCATCGGAGGAGATAACAGTGTTCTCACAGCTGAACCATGACTGACGTCTCCCCCAGCAGACGTTCAATAGGCCAGTAGTGTTAATGTCATATTTATATGGAAGATTAACTGTATCCCCAACCTGTCCAACCACCAGTTTTGATGATTCGCTGCAGGCTACAGCACATAAACAGAGAGAAGTTTCAACACTTGTTAGTTTTATCATTCATACGGCACCAAATAATTTGATTTCTCATGCATTTCACACATTCTTCCTGATTCTTTCTTAAAAAACATCTTTAACATCTTTCACTATCACTAAACTAATCAAATAATGTTGAGTGAATGATGACAGAGTAAGAAAAGGTTTATTTTTTCCAGTGGCCTTAGAGGAGAAATATAGCACAAGAAACACAACAATGAACATACATAGAATAGTATTCATTATTCATAACATCTTGTTTTCCAGTCAAATATTTGAACATCCTAAAAATGAGATACATTTAATATACTTTGTAAAGTACCCATACAGACAATAAATGAAGTTTTTATATCACATATCAAGTATTTTTCACACCACATTGCAATTTTTTTCTTGTTTTAAGCATACTCTTAAATTTGGCTAGAGTTAATAAAATAAGAAAATAATTGGAAGATGACAAGTAAAGCAAGACAAAAATACTTGATCCTATTTTTTGAACTGTACAGATATGAAATATAGCGCACAATATTTTATTGTATTGCACTGCTGAATGAAGAATTTTTTTGTACTTACATGTTACATGTATATTTGATGAGATAAAGAAGAGAAGGACAATCATTTTCTTTGCTGTGGTAGACTCAAAAAGTCACTAATACATGTCTCATATACTAAAAATACAACTTCTCTTTTTCATGAAGGCTGTTCGCCAATAGGAATAACTTAAACATGTCATTGGTTCCACAGCCAGACAGAAAAAATTGTATCCCAGAACATTTTTTATTTGATGTATTTTTATACATACCACTAAAAAGTTTGGTGTCTGTTTTTTTGTTTTCTGTTTTGTTGTAATGTGAAAGTGAAGAATTGTATAATGTTCTCTGACTTATGCTGTTCTTTTGAACTTTCTATTCATCAGGTAATCCTGAAAAAATGTATCACAGTTCTCACAAAAACTGTAAATATATTACAATAAAATAAAGTTATTTTAAATGGTAAAAAATATTTCACAAGATTACCAGTTTTTACTTGAGTAATTGATCAAATAAAGAAACACTAAAAAACATTATATGTTACCGACCCTATACTATAATAAATGTAATGTAATGTAATACAATACAATACAATATAATATAAGTTATATTTCCAAGAAAGCAGCATTGTTCTCTTAAAAAAGTGTCCCATAATTTCCCTGTGGGAATCAATAGACTATGTGTAATTCAACAAAATTGAAAAGAAATGCCACACATGGCCACAAAAAGCATCCTCCTCAACTTCCTTTCTTTATTTCTTCCCCCATTTACCATTGCTGACACTACAGATCCTGAGATGCTGTTTCAAGTCTAGACAGTCATATTATTTCCTTGAGGCTGGAGGCTCAGTTTGAGCAAAGGTGACTTAATGTTCTGGTTAAGTTAACCTCTATTGCACTCAATCAGGTTTCCTTCTTTCAGTGTCAGTATGTCTCCATGCCACAACCAGATACAGATCCCAAGTTTCCATAAGCAACAATTCTGTCACAAGTACAATAGCAAAAGGGAAGCATTCTGTCCTGTTCCTTCGAAAATGTCCTCATTTCTAATGTTTATCTTTTCCTATTTTATCCCCAGTACTCTTCAAACTCAGTCAAATGCAGTGACCTAAAGAATAAAGTCATCTGTGCAACCCCAGTACACATGGGATCAAACAACGTACTAGTGAATCGGATGTAACTGCAAACATGTAACTGCATGTTTTTCCAGAGACTGGATATCCAAGTTTATTAGCTGTTTAGTCTAGTTCAATTTGTTAGGCTTATTTTCACTTTAGTTGAAATAGTTGAGTTTAGTTGAGTGTTGCTGATAAAATTTTTTATATATTCTAGATATTTGCTTTATTTGTGTGATTATTTATTATGTCACAACATATGAAACTGAATTCGCATGCATGTGCTTTGAATTTATTTATAAAGCATAAATCTTTCAAGGTGAAGTTTGACATTTCTGTGCCACTGGCATCACCAAATGGAGCTGCATTAGAATAATGAAAATGTGAGTCATTAGTATTAAGTATTACATTACCATTAATGTTTGTGGCTGGTTCTCAAAAGGGATGCTAGAGATTTTCAAAAAGCAAATCTCACTTTTTACATATTGAAAATATACTGTGTTGTTGATACACGCGAGAACCAATGAGATTTGTGACCAATTAAATAACTATAAAAAAAGAAACCATTCAGAATACTATTATGTGATTTTTCTTTTTTCTTAAGCTTGACCGTTACATCTGTCACGTCATTTAATGTGGACTTTGTTTTCCTCATGCACGTTCCCCTTCATTGAGTTAATTGTGCCATTCTGTTCAGGTGTGTGCAGTTAATTATCCTTGTTTGGTCTATGTATTTAAGTTCCTGTGTGTTCAGTTCTAGTTTGTCCAGTCTTTTCTATTAGTGCTGCCTGTGTGTTGGATTACTGGTGTGTTGGATTAAAGTCATTATAAACCTTCTTCTTCGTCTTTGTACATTTGTGAGCAGAGTAGTGGTGACAACATCCTTCACCCCTGTGTAACACGAAGTATAAAGTTTCATAGGTTTGGAGCGATGCAAGGGTGACTAAATGACAGGGTTCATTTGGGGTGAAAATCACTTTTTATTAAATTTTTAATACATTTAAATAAAAACAAAATACAATATATAAAATATTGGATTTAAATAAGATTTTAGGACTGAATCATTTTTGCAGTGATTAACGTTTTAGCACGTTGAATCAATGAGTCAATCCTAAAATCTTAAGTGTGAGTATTTACATCCAAACAGTGAATGAAAAAGCAGTTTTATTAAGTATCAGCTAAATAAGCAAGTAACGTTTTTTTTAACTAAATATACTGAGCCTTAATTCACTTTTGTTTTATTAAATGAGTCTTCATGATGTGCCAGACTACCTTTCTTCTTTTAAAAATTGTCTGTTTTTTGTGTGTGTCATGCTTCATCACAAGGTTGCCAGTATTCAAAGATTTTCATACTGCTGGCTCTTTGATAGAAAAAGATCTTCTTTAACTCTACAAATCAAGTCCAGTATTCAAAAGTAGACAAATATATAGTTCAGTCATGAAACTCTAGATGGCGCATTCTGACGGGGTGTTAATGTAACTGATGATATTCAGAGAGTTAAACGACTTGGCACAAGCTGATTGGTTCATGCTGCATATGCAGCCAATGAACTTACTGGCTTGCATTTATATGGCTGGCTAGCATTCACTAGAGATTTCTGCAGTGCGCTTTCAGAGTTTCTCTGAAACCCTCCACCTTCCCCAGCTCCACCTGTATAGATCTGCTACGGGGTTATTTTATATGCTATTTGTGCAGCAGCAGTATACCTTAAATACTCATGGCACCGTATCGCCATATGCATTGGCAGTAGCAAGTTCCTGCACTTGCTTGCAGCAGCAGCAATAATCTACAACTACAGCAATAACCAACTGTATTTGCAGATCTGTTCCGCCAAGACCAAATACATTAACATTGTCATATCCATCACCATGCTAAAATCTTCCGAGAGTTGTCATGGTTGAAATACCGAAACACCACTTTGAGCAGAGGCATCATCTATGCTCATTCATGAACTAGAATTACTTGCTGTCCTGCCCATGGTTTAGTTGGCAGTCTCATTCTGTTGGTTGTCTCAGGGTTTAGAGCATTACTGTAATGGCACTACTTACTCTTTTTATTTTACTTGGGAGACAATTCACCTAAATAATACTGCCAGTTTGGCCATTGGCCTGGCTGGAGGCCAGAACTATCCAAAAATCCTATATAATATGAAATCAAAAAGGCACTTATACGGCTGTTTAACAGTGACAGCTGGAAGGGCAAACACATGGTGGTCCAAGCGGGCATTCATCAAAATAATTTTTCATGATCCTAGGAATTATTTTGCATAACCCTTAGTCATTTAATAGCTCTTTTTTATATTCTGTAATTGCCAACAGATTTGAAGAGTGCTCCACAAAACAATGAAGGGGACTATTTAAATCTTGTAATCATTAATCATGTTTTAAGGTAATATAACAGGATGAACCGATCATAATCAGTGCAACACAGAGTATTTCAGTGGCATAGTTTAAGAGAAACTCAAACATACTCTTTGTGCAGCGTGTTGTAATTGTTGAATGTAATAACAGATGCAAGTAAACCGGTTTGTTTCACTGAATGCTTCATGCACCTTCTGCTTTCCTCTGAGAAAACAACCCAGTCAATATGTCTGTGGAAATCTCAAACGCAGGCGCATTCTGGCGTGTGATTCAATTTCAGATCACCTATTATCTGAGTTTACTGCGGGTTCACCACCATCCAGAATGACACAAACCTGCTGGATAATTGCACTTTTCCAGAGGAACATGCCGAAGACAGGACAGAAGGTTTATTTGAGGCTGTAAATGCACGTAAATGCAATATAAAAGCTTCCACGGGTCATGCGCTGGCACATGTGCTGGACAAGGCTACAGGCTTCTCTCTTTCTCTTTTATGTAACATAAGCAGATGGGCTGATATATGACTCGTTTTACATATTATATTTTTAAATCCTATCTTAATAATAATGAGAGGCATCATTTGCTCATTTGTGGATATGCCGCACCTGTACACACTCACGTTTTTGCCATTCAAGGCTTTAGCTATTGTCTCGTCGCCCATTCAGCAGCAGAATCTCACACTGTCAAGCACCATCAGCAATAAATAGAACTGACAAAGTGTATATATTATATTATAATATATTATAGTCATTAGCATCTTGCTTATTATGGGTCTCCTCAGAATGACAGGAGATGAAGTTGTTCTTTCATTACAATTTCACATGGCCTTCTTTATCTCCCTAATTTCTATTATAGTATTAATGAACTTTACATTAATTATGTCCATCTAGAAGGAATGTATAATTCGAGTTGAGTCTCATGCCTATAGGCCCCTTATACTGTATATTGTGACTTTATTTTTTAATTGTGACTAGAAATCTAGAATAGAATAGAAATCACACAGTAAAAAAATAGATTGAAATTATTAGATTTCTAACATATTTTATATTTGTTTGTCTCTGACAAGCTTCAGTAGATGTTTTTCTGTTTTACATTAATTTTTAGGTTTTTTTTTTCATAGTGTTGATTATTTAAGAATCAGTCACTATATATATATATATATAAAAAAACATTTTGACCAATAAGTAAGCTGAATATTGTAGTGGTATTTACAGTACAGTGACTGAAATATACTGCAGTTTTAAACACGGTCACAATGACCACATCAGCTTCCAGTGTGACCAAGCAGAAAAGTGTCTCTACAGATTTCTGTGTGAAAACACATTACAAAGCAAACCCATTAAATGCAGTTTGTCCTGCTCGACATGGTGCATTTTAACTTACTAAAGAACTTCTTTAATCTGTGTCAATTAGGCTTATGGATGCTTAAAAGGAATCAATTGCAGTCAATGTGAACTGATCTCATCTACATTTCTTTTGTTGATTAAACAATACTTAAACATTAACTAAGAGCCCAGTGGGTTTAATACATTAGTGGGATACAAAATTATTAGTACTAATGTTGTTTATGCCAGTAATGAGCTCTGTGTTATGTGACCCAGCATATTTATGATATGCAGCTAATCTGCTGACAGA